CGGACGCATTTTTTTTAGGTCAAAAAAGAGGACATGTCCGGGGAAAAGAGGACGTATGGTCACCCTAACGTTACCCACCATATTTATTTTAAAATCTTTTATATATCCCTCCATGGCATATTTAAGTAACTTGAATGGTGGTCCTTCTGTGTTCAAAATTTATCAAAAACATCTTGGGACAGGATTTTCACATTGACAGCTGTCATTGTAAGACAGTTAGCAACTCCATTTGTTTGTTAGCAACTAAGGGGGGCGGGGCGAGACACTTAAACCAAATAAACAAATGTTCTTGGAAACAAATGCGTTTGTAAGTGAAGTTAGAGGAGTGAATGTGGGCAACACGGACAGCATTTTAATTCAGCATGGGGTGTTTCCATCAAGTGGCCATGTTAGAATGGTAGAGAGAGAGAGAGAGAGAGAGAGAGAGAGAGAGAGAGAGAGAGGACGAACGTAGCACAATATATGAGAGCATACTGTCAGTGCTATTGCATTTATCTGCATGGCTGCTACAGATGTAAACACATATCCTGTAAGTTATTTAATTGCTTCTTATATTTACTGCACATAATTATTCTCAGTATGACATGCATATTCATTCTTGATAAAGTTGCAATGTGTGCAGCAAGAGGTATGAAGACTGGATTGGTTGGTCAAAGATGATTCAAAATTTTTCACATTTCATAATTTGCTTGTATTTATGTGCTAATATGTGCAGTTAGTTTGCTGGTTGCAATGGAGGGGAAAAAAGGTTTAGTGTGCTTGAGTTTGATTCAAGCAACACAAGACTGAGTTTAGCTAAAGCATTATATTTAGCTCTGCTGTAAATCACTGTTTGTAATGCTTCATAATGCATGTCATGAAACTATTTCTAGATGCATATGCTAGTAGTTTATATTTATAGTTTAACATTGGGGGTTTTCTCTGGTTAAATCCACTGTCAAAGTCATTTCAAGCTGATTAGTTCTTGTAAGCAGATCAGCTTTGGTTCTTCTGGTTGTTGCTTCAGTCAACACACATCCCAAGTCTGTAACGTTTTTGCATTGGTGCAATAGTATCATCCTATACTGTTCATTTATAATTTTAAAATGCCCTTTAACTTGTTGCATTTGTGAACCCAGCACTTAAAGAGCAAAAGCAGTGAAAACCTTCAGTTACCGAGAAACACAGGCTGCATAAAAAGTCCTTTGTGCTCCAGTGTGTGTGTTAAGAATACTGGGGCAGTGGAACAGATGAAGGCTGTGTGAAACACTTCCTTGTGTTTGTACAAAGTGAGGAGCTCTGAATACCTCAGCATGCTGCTTTTCTCTGTGATCGACACTCAAACCCGTGTCCATGCATACCAATATGCTCAGTATACTTACAAACTGACATGGGTCAGCAATTCCGCTTTGATCAGTATCTCCCATGTATTAATAGACACATTAGGGCGGACTATAAATTTGTGATGGAGCACTGATAATATTTTTGAAACAGTATTACAATTTAAAACAACTGTTTTCATTTGAATATATTTTAAAATGTAATATATTTCTGTGATGCAAAGCTGAATTTTCTGAAGCTCCACTCTAGTGTCACATGATCCTTCAGAAATCATTCTAATATGCTAATTTGATGCTCAGGAAAGAAATTTCTTAATATTATCCTCTGTAACAGAAATCAAGATGTCGTCAATGTAGGCTATTACGTACTGGTTCAGAAGTTTCCCGGAAAATCTCGTTAATGACTGACTGGAAAACAATCAAACAGGAAATGAACGTAGAAGCAGAGGGAGCGGTACACAGTCAGTACTCAGGCGAGGGCTCCCTCTGCTGCGTAATATCTTTGTGAAAACGGTGATACATTGTTTTAACAGAATTCTTTAATTAATACACTCTAAAAAAATGCTGGGTTAAATACAACCCAGCGCTGGGTAAAACATGGACAAACTCAGCGATTGGGTTGTTTTGACCCAGCAGTTGGATTATTGCACAGAAGGTTGGGTTAAACATTCAACACAACTGTTGGTTGAAAACAACCCAATTGCTGGGTTTGTCCATATTTTACCCAGCACTGGGTTGTATTTAACCCAGCATTTTTTAGAGTGTAGAAAGGTCAAAAGAGCAGCATTGATTTAAAATAGCAACACTATTAATGTCTTTACTGACACTTATGATCAATGTCAATGCATTCCTTAATACAAAAAAAAAAAAAATTAAGGAATTACCC